ATAATAATAAATAAATATAATAAAATGTTCAGAATTCTGTTACAACACTACTTCTCATCAGATTCTCGATATCGAATCGGACGTTGCTATTGCACGGTGTATCTCCTTCGTAAGCTGAAATCCTCAGTTGTACTACGACGGTTCGTGGAACTTCCATCGAGGGGAACAAACGATCGAAGGAGGGATCGAGGGCCGAGAATTATCCGAGAATATCCAACTGTTAGCGAACCATCGCTCCCGTTAAACCGTCCCGGTATAAAGCGCCAAGACGCGGCGGCACTGACCACCGGATACTGACGTTTTGTGGTCAGGCCGAGGTGGCCAGGCAAACGCCAGCTGCCAGTAGTTACGGTCAAACTGTCATCAGACGCAAACACCGTGCCAACTGAGGGCACGCATACCTCGAAAGTTCTAACATTATCGAAATTCGACGGTGGACATATATAGGTCGGCGAGTAATTCCGAATATCTGAACGATGTCCGATGATTCGTTTAATTCTCTTGTAAACGAATTTCGATTCGCTTTGTTTGCTTTATCGAGAAACTGTTTCCGAGTTTCGTCGCGGTATTGAGACAAGGGACAGAGGACGTAACAAGTATTGTAGTTTCTGTGTAACTACTGTTTTTTGAAACGCGTAATTCGAAAATTAGACGAAGCGCTGTTTGGTCGAGTGTGGACGGTCGCAAGTGGAGTTTGAAGTTATTGCTGGTAGAATATACGCACCGAGTTCGCGGTCCCCTCAGGAAGTTGTAATTGAAAAATCTACTGTCGTCGAAAGTACGGAATTTAGGTTTATATATCGATCATATATACGATTGACGTTTCTATTTGTTCGACATTCGACTGGATGTTCATTCTGCAATTGTGGAAAAGGAAAATTACAAACGTTTCTATTAGCCTTGTAGCTTATTAGCTTAACTTATTAGCTGGAGAAGCAAAGAATTGTTAATGAATTTAGTTCAACTAAAAAAACATTCACGTTACGAAGTATCCCTATCTATGTGCCCTGATATTAAAAATAAAAAGAAAGAAGTATTTTTACAAGTCCTTTTAATTTAACTCATTAAGTGTATAGTCTGTGCAGATAAGATCTGGAATAATTTGAATACAATTAATTTATTAGAGATTCAAGGAAAATATCACAATACATATCGAATAAATATAGATATCAAGGAACATACATTTAAATTGAGAGCATTTTTAATTTGTTACGTACTTCATTCAACGTCTAATTAAACTTTTAGGTTTTTGGTAATTTTATGCGCTCGAAAGGTCACGGATAAATGCATGTGTTATCTGTTACGTCTGAGTAGGTATTGAACGTTCGTACTTTTAGTAACTTCGAGTGAGCAAGTTAAGCTCGAACAGTTAATATCGGAGAGCACCAATTATACGGATAATTACCCGAGTGCACAGTTATTATCGCAACTGTGAATTCGACGTTCAAGTGCACACGATACGAATTCCTGCCTTTTTTTTTTTCCAACGATTCGTCCCATTGTTGGGCGGCAGCGTTCGTCTCTCGTTTCAAAGGAAGCTCATTGTTCTCCGGTTTTATCTCGTTGATTATTTTCGGAGGCCGGAGATCCCCGGAGCGAGTTCCGAGTGTCTCGCGTTTCGAAGGAAAGCACGCGTGATTCCGTATATAGCCGGCCAGGGGAAGACGGATTGAAAAGGCACTTGTGCGTCGAGTTCGTTTATCCGAAGATGAGACCTAGTCTCGAGTCTTCGGCAAACGTAGCGCCGGTACGCTAGCAAGCGCGCGCGCGCGCGCGCGCGCCTCTGTTTGAAATCTCGAGATCTGGGCGAACTCTTCGGATGCATCGAAATGAAGGCGCCACCACCCCAGCTCGGCCGGGAAACTTTCGCAAAGATAAATTTAAAGCCTCGGAGCCTCCGGCCTGAAAACAATACTACCCTCTGACTGGCTCGGCAGCTTTCATCGGGATTCAAAGTATCCTCGAATAGCTCTTCCCGTTCCCACACACGCGAGTGAATTAATCGGGCACTAAGTTGATGAATTCGATTCGTTCGATTGACAGATAGAGAGAGAGAGAGAGAGAGAGAGAGATGAGAGAGAGAGATGAGTTCGTAGAGGAGAGACGAGAACTTTTGTGGAAATTGTTTGTTCGTTCAATGTAAAATCGCTTTAGCTAGCCATTAGCTATCGTCTCAGTAATGTGCAACTCTTGAATCTAATCAATTCGAATTGGAGTATCAAATGTATCCGAGTGAAGGGGCATGTTGAATAATTTCTTGAAATTTTCTCTGGCGGTGGAAGGAAAAATAGAACAAGATAATACGAATTAACTGAAAAAAACTTTGCGAAATGAGATATTGCGTTGCGACGCAACGCTGGCCCTTACTTCCTCTGTCACAGTTACGTTTCGTACGGAATATAAAATTCATAAAAGACTCACTGTCAGGCTTATTAAAAGAAATTTCATGTCTGTCACAATTGCTACCCAGAATTCCTACGCACGTAGGAACGTTGAAGTAGCCTGCTTGTTCTCGTTAAATTTTTAGAATAAATTTCTCTCAACGTCGGGAAATTCCTTTCATAATTTCGCGTTACCAAGCCGGATGGAAAACCAACAAGTAAATATCAATTTCGTTCAAACTCTCGCAATGCTACGTGTACTTACACGAGAGAGAAAGAGAAAGAAAAGTACACATATATATTCCACTCCCAGTTTTTTGTAATATTAAAATCTTAAACGGAGAAACATCCAGTCGGTTGTATCGCTATTTGAAAGATATCCTGTATGTTTCGTTTATCTGTACGGAATGTCGCAACGTGCTTTATTCTCGACGAAAGAAACGATGGTAAAAGGAGTTTTATCTTCCCTTTGCAACATCTAGATTGGTTTCACAGGATACATCCATTTCACTAAAAACTCCATACAATCTATTACTAGAAACAGTTGTGAACACACGGACAACAGCTCTGTGAAACCAATTCGAACGTTACTTTTTTCCAATTGAAACGAGTAGCCACGTCCTTTATTTAGTAATTCTATTGCAACGTATGAAGATGGCGAGAGATCGTTATTTTCAATTAACCGAACGAATCGCTTTTCAAATCGTTTTCGTCAGTCATCGGACTCGGAATTGATGTAACATCCAGTAAGTTCGTCAGATATCCAATATTCGCGTTGCTGGGGCATAAATACACGTTTGGCTGGCTTCCTTTAATTTGCACGCGTGGATAACCACGTGTCAAATATATCGCTGTCCGTATCCCACGCCCGTGTGAATCAAGACGAAACAGACAGGCGAGAACGGCGTGCCACGTCTACGATCTTTCTCTAAAACCGGCTAGCCGCTTGTCAAACACGTAGCCGCGTATTCTCGTCTCACGGTTTGACGTTTTTCTCGGCCGAAAGCACGTCCGGGGCAGAAAGTGTTCTTTCGTTTACATTTCCGCTGGCTTCGACGGATCGATCCTTTTCCCCCCCTTTATTTCTCTGACAATCCCCTTCTTATCGTTCGGCGCAGCAGCGAAAATCCCTTTCGCCCGGTTTATACACGAAAATCGCGACGAAGCATATTGCGATAGGATATTTCACGCGTTGTAATATTGAAATGAATCGTAATAAATAGAAATAAAAGAAGGAAGTATTTTCCGAACGACGAGAACGTCGATTCGGAGGGAGAAAGAAATTCTTGACACGTTGAGATCGACGACAGCTTTCTCTCGAGCGCAGTACGAAACGCAGTGCGGCGAACGAAGGACGAACAGGGGCCAATAGTGTATGTTTAATAAAGAGTGGAAGTGCAGCAGTGGTAGACCAAATCGAGGAAAACTAGCGCGGGATGTTAAACACACCTGCGCGCATCGAAAGTTCGTCATGAATAATTCCGTTTGGCTCGTTTAACGCGGTCGCAGTATGCGCGCCGACGGGAACTTCCATCAGCCCCCGCTGAACGATAATTGACTTTGCATCTCGCCGGCTCTATTTATTTGCGCGCCTTCCAGGCCTCCAGCCTGTGTACATGTATATATACACTTCCTGGCCGAGAGATCGAACGAGCGTTAAACGACGCTCGGTTGGAACGCGACAAAGACAGGGAAAACAAGGAGGCAGGTCGAGAAGTTTAAATTGCGACCAGGGATCGAGTTAAGGCTTGATAGCTAATTGATTCGGAAATTAAATCGTAAACTCGTTTTCCTCGTTGCACGGGCGAACCTCGCCGACGTGTCTTACGATTTGTCGCGAATTTCCTTGATCGAGTCGTTGAGTCGCCGAATTTCTTAATAGCCGGCAACTATTCCGAGTTATACGGTAAATTTACTTTACTGTTACTGAACGTGACAGCGGGATGATAAAGCAACGATAATGCAAAACTAGGAGAAAGAGATGAATAACATCTGCCGATGAAGTATGTAGTTTCTCAGCTCGACGAAGAGTAGATTCCATTTTCTTTTGAAGTAGGATCTGATGGAAAGCAGAGGAGATTAATAATTATCGGGAAAGTCCCTCGTGATATAAGCATCCGTAATTCTCTCTTATTCGAATATCGCTAAGCTAGAAAAATATTCCGCCGTGCATATCGGGCTATTAAAAAGTTGGGACACTATGCTCGAAAGAGTTTAAACGCTTTGGACGCGAAAAAATGCTGAAAGATCGAGAATTATTCAACGACCCGACAGAGGATCTGTTGGAACACGCTTTATTGAATTTCGCGTTGTTTCGAACTTGCAATTGGTTTAACTCGGCCGTAAAAGCAGCGGACTAGTAAACGTAGTCGACAGTCGCTGGTTGAACGATCTCTATGAACTATGAAATAACCAATCGACTCTTCAAAGTCCTCTCTGTTATGATGCATGTTTAATCTATTATGCGGGGATAACAGTGATCGTTGGATGGATGTATCGGTTATATTAATTATAAATTTTCAACGGCTATATACGATAATCACGTTACGAGTATAATTTGCACCGTTTTTTCGTCGACAGGACATGTGGAGATGTTTTTAGATCGTGTGGTTATTGCAGGGTGGTCCAGACTTCCCGGTGAACCAGACTCTGTCGAACATTTATGGCCGCAAGTCGGCCAGTCCAGAAGCTCCGGACCACGTAGACGAAACTCAGGTTCGTAAGTCTGTAAATAATGTCGTGTGAAAATTAATTTCGGTCTCTAATCGTACTAAACAATAATACCGTTCAAACTCGAAAGTATACCATAATAATAATAATAATAATAATTTTCAACAAATATATCTGTATATCCTTAATTAACAACAAGAAGTTTAAATATTGAGATTCTTTGAAGATTTAATCGGCGAATTTTTGATACTCGGTTGGTAATAGAAAAGTCTGTCAGATTCCTACAATTTTCCGCTGTAAACTCATAGTTTCCTACTGTACCGACGTGTTTCTGCCATATAACTCCATTGAAACTGTAACTGCAGATATTCGTCGATCAATTAACAGCCGCTGATAACTTTTTGCGTTGTTCTCTTTACGTGTAAATAATTAAAAACTTTACGATAATTAAAAAAAAACAGTTAATTAAAACTGCTTCTGTCGGATTGACTGTCACCCAAGCTATTGCATGTTTTTCTCGGTATTCCTCGCAAAAGAGTATTCTTCGAGGCAGGAACAGAAATTAATCTGTTTTGCATCAAAAGCGGACTATAATTTCCCAGGTTCCGGCAACGCTGTTGTTTCTTCTTGCTTTCTCATTTCCCTGGCGAGCAAAGCGGAAAAAAGGAAAGACACATTGTACTCGTGACGCAGCTCACGTTCCCTGTCATCTTTCTGCCTGTTCCCTCGCGAAAGTTGCGCGCCGTTTTAGAAATATCGTCGATGAAATTTCATCGTGCGACTCGTTTGCATGATGGAATTCACTTGGAAAAATCGATGACACGAGAAATAATTTCCCCTTTTGCAAACAATGAAAGATACGAGAAAATTTCATAGATGACGCGCGCGCGCGTGTGTGTGTTTGTGTGTGTGTGTTGAAAGGCAAACGTAAAACGACTTTGCCGATAATTTCATTTGTTTCTAACCATTTTCCATTCTGTCCGCGGACGTTTTGCAATTTGCTTTAATTTTACACGCCGTTTTGTCGATTAACGGCGGGTCGCTCGTCACAAAGTCGACGATTAAACATAGGCCCACGGCAGGCTCGTCTGCGGCCGGGCAATTTGTAAATTATGCTAGAAATCAACGTGACTGAATTATCAGTGGCGTTACGCGGCTTCCGTATTTGCAAATAAAGTGTGGAAACTGCGTATAATGCGTTCCATTTGATTTAATCGGGCTGATTAACCTGGTGAAACGCAGTCATGCAGCCGTTAGTTGTTTAATCCGTTCGGGGAGCGTGGAACGCGTTAGTTTTCATTACGGTCATTGCTTCGATAGACTTCGACCAACCACCGCTGGCACGTTTTTACTTACCAGGTGGCTATTAAGGGTATTTGCGTGTACCATTATTTTCCAACAAAGCGTTTTGTCTTATCAAGTTCTACGTTTCAATTTGTGTTAAAGTTTCTGTTTAATAGTAGGTGCGGAAGTACTATTAAATAATACCGGTATTACGTAAAATTAAATGGTATTTAATCCAATGTTAAAGCGAGAGATTCTAATATCATGCCATCACTGATTCTACAGTGTTTTACAAAATTTACGAAAAATATATAATATAATATATTAATAATAATGTACTGTATAATAGTAATATAAGACATAATACGTTTATAATGTAATACTATATAATATACTATTAAAATACATAATACGTTTCCAATATATATAAAAAAAAAAACAATTCTTAAAACTCAGCCAAGAAATTAAAAATTAGGTTATTAATTCAACCATGATGAACAACATACATGTACAAACACATTTGGCGTTGTTGTCGCACGAGCGTGAAATTAAGTTTCGATTTTACTTTTGATCGACAGTTTTTACTTACCGATGCGGTCCGTTCTATATCATTCAAGTTAATTAACTTCGTTTGAAACTGCGATTGGGAACTGCGACGGGGAGAATTCGACACCACCTTCGCGTAAACCCGTTAATTCGACGGGGGGAAACGAGCCCCGTCCACGGTAATTGTACCGCCTTACGTTCGCCGTCGTTCGAACGTTCGTCTCGAAATTACACTCGAGCAAGACCGTTAATGAAATAATAGCGACGTTTCGGTGCGGCGCCGATTATAAATAACCGTCGATATAACGTGTTCGCCGTTTCTGTGCCATTGAACCCGGCTCGCGTTCCGGCCGGGGCTCCTCCGCTTCTAACCGCGCGAACTTTAATTAAGCGGCTGCTTAATCAGGCCGGGTACGTAAATTTTCCGAGAAATTTCCAAGGGAAGACAATCTCGTCGGGCATCGATCTTCGTTGCCCTCCGGGCGAACGTCACGTCTCTATTGTCCGCGAGTATATTTACAACATCGAAGGATTCCCCGTTCTCTCCCACGGCTCGATCAATCGCGAAACCATACCGAACGAGTCGTCCTAGAATCGTTGAGCGAAGTGGGGGTGTTTGGAATAGGTCTTACCTCTTACCGCTAGGGGGTGAGTCCGTTCGCATGGAAAACCGGATTAATTCTCGCCTTTATCACGCTCGCAAACACGGATCGTTGCACGTGTGGCTAGAAACAGGCTTGGAAACGTCGAGCAAGCAGCAGTGTGGCGTATAGCGTGGTTTCGACGAAAAGATTGCGCGTCGGAATTAGACCACGACGCCTTGGTAGGAGCGGCGGAACGCGAAGGCCACCAACGTCGAAACGTTCTAACGCCAGTAACAACGCCGACATCCATCCCCTCGAGATTCCTGCTCCGCGCGTTCTTGCATATATCTTACACGTTTCTTTGAACTCTATGCCTATGTTCGTTCGTTTCGTTCGTTCGTACGTTGCTTCTCCCACAGTTGTGTTCTCAATGTCACGCTGGTGGATCGCTACGATAACAAAGTGCGACAACAGTGGCCGATTGTCTCGCTTTTGCACGCACTTTGCGCGTAAAAACGAGACGCGAATCCTGTGTTTGGTGTAGACGGGTAGACTCTCTTCGATTCGATCGAAGCGTTACGTTGTCTGAAAATCGGGGAAGACTCGTTTCTCCACGAAAGAGTATTCATCGTCTTTCTTTTTTCTACTGAATTACGAATCCACAAAGTATGATAACAACTATTAACTGTGTTGCCTTTATATGCAACACTGTGTGCGCGAAATTGTAGATTCTCTTAGACGTGGCAGTCTCTGTCAAATTGTTATCGTCGTTCAACGACCGAAGCGCGTATCTAAAGAACAAAATTCGCTTTTCGATGAGAAGGGAGAGGATTCACGATGCAACATTGCTGAATTACTACTGAATTATCGCGTTGTTTTTTCACGGGAGAGAACGTTTGCTTTCGATCCGAAGTCGAGATGGATCGATGAGAACACGGGAAACACGCGGACGAGAGTAAAAAGCAGGAACCATTAATTGAAACGAATAGCTGACCTTGTCAGAGCTTCGTATTTTTCTCGGAAGAACTCGTGACGTGAAATCGGTTGTTTGAATGCATGTTGAGATGAAACGAGCGCGCAAGAAATAGCTTTCCAAGAGCATGGTCGAAAAGAAAATAATCTGATCTGAGGTACACGGCGCGATATCGGTCGATTCTCCCTCGTGGATCGCGGTGCCTCGAGTCATCAACTTCAAATCGCAGGGGAAACAGCGGCCAAGTATTCAACGTGTGAACTTTTTCTGACACCTCTTACAAACCTTTCTTGTATTCTCAACTCGTCGTGCGAAGGGAGGGAAGGTTTGTTGTACGAAAGGGCAGAATAATTGCATTGGAACACACAGGTTTTGACGCTTTTGAAACAGCCACTGTTTTATTCGCTTTGCTCCGCGATTCTTTTCCGAACAATTCAACGACGTTGACCAAAGTAGTAGACCAGTTGTGTCCCTCTGTCGTTGACTCTGCTAATTTCGCTGAAAGGCACGAACTATAAGACTCGAATATTTAACAGAAACGAAGTGGGAAAGAAATAAAGGAGGGAATAGGAACAAAACGGCGGGATAATTGTGCTCGGAACGCGTACTGACGTATTTAGAGCAGTTGCCATTCTACTCGATGCTTCGTGATTCTTTTGTAAACAGTTTAACGACGCTGTTTGATATCCTTGGAAATGCATAAACGTTTTAGCTCGCTTTGAAGTTTTCGTTCTTCCGAGCGGCCGTTAAACGAAAGTGCACGCGGAACCAGAAACATTGTCTCGAACGGTGCGAACAAGGCTAAAAATAATATCCCGGAGAACGTGCGACTTTTTACGGGCGAATTTTAACGAAGTTGCTTCGTTAACTTTCGCGCCAAGCTTCGCGACGCGGCCTCGCTCGGAACCTAACCCGTTCGCCTTTTAAATTTCATTTTTCACTCGGCGCGAAACTTCTTTATCTGCTGGCGTGCCATTCGCGGAATCGTCGGGCCAACTGCAGCCACTATTCATCCCTCAACCTTCGCGTTGAACCTTCTTACGGTGAAACTGCCTCGCTATCTATCTCACGAAGCTCCCCTCAAGTTCCTGCCGACGTCGATCGGGATTCATTTCGATTCGATTCCCTTTTCTTCGTTTGTTCTACCTTCCGGCGAGGCGAACCTTTCGCGGCGAGTGTTTTAAAGCGATAGTCGAACGTGGATATCTATTGGTTGGATGAAAGGGAGGACTTCTTTGGCTCTGACTTTGCGTGAAAACGAGCTTTGTGAAAGCTTTGCGACGGTTTATGGGAGAAGTATGTCGCAGTGTGTACGAAAACAGGATCGGAATGTTTCTCGAATGTCTGACGAGACGATTTGTGTGTCGTGGATGAAGAAACAGTTTCACGATCGTGAAGCGTACACGCGTGAATGGGAAATAAAATTTCAATATCGAAGTTCGAATTCGTACGTTCGAAATGAAGAGGATTCTAAACAGAAGTTTATCGAAGTAAATACAATCGAGAATGATGGAAATGTATAGACAGTCGGACAAGTGTGTGTGAGTTAACGCAGACTTCTAATATTGGGAATTAGTATCTATGCCACGATCGATATTCCAACTGAATTCTGAATAAAACGAAACACGTCAAAAAGCAGAGACGATCGAGAATATATATATATATATATATATATATATATATATATATATATATATATAGAGAGAGAGAGAGAGAGAGAGAGAGAGAGAGAGAGAGAGAGAAAGAGAGAGAGGGATAGTGTAAAGAAAAGATCACACGATCTAGCGGGCAAATACTGCGTAGTATAAACACTGTGCGGTGCAAACTGTACGCGAATAAACGGTGAATGGAATCAAACACGGCGACACAATGATCGATTGGGTGTCTATCGTGCGTCATTCACGGCGTCGTTTTAGCGACTATATGTACGGTGTTCCTATTAAGGTACGCAAACGAAGAACAAAGAGGACCTGTCGCTCCGGCGAACGCTTCAATCGTTATGTCGCAACACGCGCCACGAAACGATCCAGCAATTTTTGCGGATGCTGCTGGAGCCACGTAAGTCTCTCTGACGTGAAAGTTGTAACCACTTGCGCTGGCAACTGACTTGCGGACCATAACGAGTGACCAGATCGTACGATAATTCGTCGCTTTCTTTTTGAGCTCGAAAATTTATTAATTGTTTCGCCTATTTTTTTTCTTTTAATTTATGGTTAACGTCGTATCTACTTCTGGTCATTAGCGACCTGTTTTCTGGTGCTGTTTTCTTCTTTTCTAGACGATTATATCTTGTTTCTGTGACGTCAGGGCTGCTTGGTGATGTTATTTTGTATTTTTGCCTTTGGGCGTGGTACTTGCTGCATTCAAATAGTAGACGATGAGTTGGTATTATTTGGTTACTCATAGGTGCTCATTTGTTTTACTTAAATATACTTAAAACTGAGAAAATATTGCAATTTTGGAACAAAAAGTTGTCGACGTGCGTGGCACGTCATTCCAGCGCAAGAGGTTAAATCGATTTGCATCTCCGTCTGCTGTCACCAACTTATCGTTCGCCGCAGAATTAACGTTGCAAAAACAACGATCCGCTTCGTTTGATTCGCTAACCGAAATTGGAAAACTCGCGAACATTCGATAGAAAAGAATAATTTATAGGAATCAGAGGGAGAGAGAGAGAGAGAGAAGTGAATCGCTTGTATGATTTTGTTTTTAAACGTAATCGTATCATTCACGCGTTTCAATGTTTAATGGTTTAATATGCTTCGGAATTCCAGCAACGAGCTGAAAATTTGCTCGGAAAGCAGGAAGCCGCTATTTATTTATATCAGCCTGCCCATTGCACCGTATTCCGGTGGACAAGCGGTCGAGTTCATTTATCATCACGGTTGCATTTAAACGGTGAAAAATTGAGCAGTCGGTGGATCGAGTCGGAAACGGCATCGATCTATTTTATTTCTGCTGTTTTTGATCCGCGGCCGTGTGGCCGGAGGAAATTCCGTGGTCCACGTTAGCCAGGAAGTGACACGTCGTTACGTGTAACATATGACACCACATTAGAGTGTTTTCGGATTAAAGCGCCATGGCACTAAAGCACGAAATCGATTGGCACAGCGATACCGGAAAAATTCAATTCAAGACGGAGTTACATTTCCTGCGATACTGGTTGATATTTTCTATCTTCTATTTTCCTCGATTCAGTTATTATTTATTATTGATTAATAATTTGCTTATTATCTTACAATTTAATTACTGGCCAGCGATCTTCTCGACCACTCTATGTCTCTGTGTTGCTGAATGATACTTTCTAATGTTGGGAAAGTTCAAAGACTCGCTTGATATTTTGTCATTATACTTTTCACGATTTTTACGATTCTATAATTTTATGAAGTTTCAAGTATATGTAATCAAGTTTGAAGTATATGTAATAATGTAACAAAGTATTGTTTGGTTCTTGATGGTAATATATATAAGATTATGTATATATAAGATTATAATAATATTATATATATAAAATTATGTGTCGTAATGTTAAAAGAACATTCAAGAGAAAAAGTTATCAATATATTGGCTAATTAATTTACTAATCTTATCTATGGGGAATTGATTGTAATAATTTTAAATAAATGCAATTTTACAGTTCTCAAAGGTAGATAGGATGTTACAGAATATAGGAGAATCTTATAAACGACGAGTCAAGAAATTTCATAAATTTTATAGATTGGCACAGAATTTGATCTTTATTCCATGGTAATCTGATTATGATTTATTAAAATTTCTTGCAATAAATNTAGCACTTTGATTGCTTTTACCAGACTTGCGTAATTTTCAATGATAATAATAGATATAACTGTTTCTACGAAGCTATAAAATATATATATTTCATCCAAAGTGTAGTCGAGTCGGAAATTAAACTACCGTGAAACGTACGTAGTCAATGATGGACATTTTCCAATGTGAAGCATCACTTTTCGAGTGCGTGAAAGAGATAGACACCATTCCGACACTTTTCATAGAACTCTCCCAAATTCATTTCCCATATCTTCAATTTTTACGAGTGCCGGGTATCGGAAATTGACCTAACGCGCCCCAAACTACTCTCTGATCGCGTGCCTGACGTGGACAGAGTGCTCCGTATGGTTGGCCGGTGGTCGCTAATGGTCACTTTCTTCAAAATCGTTTCCATCAAGTACGTGCTCGTCGTTGATGTTTCTGCGAATGCCCTTCTCTTTCCGAGAATTTTAGAAAAAATTCTAGCGTCGAGGAAAATGTGACGGTAGCAGGCAACTATGCCTGGAAATCGAGAAAATTTCAACAATAAAGAGACAATGAGACCGTCGAACGAAATACTAGTAACAAACTTACTTTTCTTGACAATCTGAGACTTTTGAATCTAATCAACTTCTTTCGTCGCACTCTCTTTTCATCTTAGACATTCTCCATTGTTTAGAAGTTTACCACGCCGTGCACATCTAAATTCTCTTTCCTCGATTCGATTAGTAGAATTCGTGCACGAGTAAATTCACTTAACGAAGGACTTTTTCTCCGGTTGCCTTTTATCTTCCAAGAATAGCGTGCTTGAATTACCAAGCTAGCCGATTGTAACTAGGCTAATTTAGTATTATCTTAGTATCCTCGTATTTAATTCAGCTTCTTACTAATTCTGTACAACATTATATATTGCTGTTAATATTTTAAAAAGCGAGAAAGAAACTGTACGAATAAAAAGACAATACTAGACCTCGGAAAAGACGATACAGCAATAATAGAAAAAATAGCTGAAGGTAAGAAAGGAGAATTCTTCTAATAAAAAGAAGGAACAGGAATATAATGAGGAATAATATAATGAGGAAAATGTTGCAAAGAAAGAAATAGAAAGAAACATCATGAAATATCAACAATGAAAATTGGCAACAACTTCGAAGAAGATAAAGTTTTGCAGCGAAGATAAAGTTTTCATAAGTCGCATCGAGCATTTCTTGAATATCCTCGCAACATTGCACCAAACATTATAAAATCTCATCGAATTAATCTTATCCCATATCCAATCGGACATTAAAATTTGATATTGCAACATTTTGATTGTTTCAATTCCGCCGCAGTTATTCACCGGTGTATTCGCTAGAACCTAACAGACGCAGTCAGGCTTCGTGGTGAAAATCAAATTGCACGGACGGCAGCTCACGTCGATGTTTATTCACATAGATGGCAAGGTGTGAGCTACTTCAAACGAAAAGGTTTCAATAAACGTTTGATCATTGATAGCGCGGTTGGCCACTCGACAGGCCATCGTATCCAGAAGCCCCGCACGGCCGCGATAATGAAACGAAATCCGGGATTCCAGGGGGATTAGCTCAGTAGAAGCGTCATCGATATCGAAGCCTGGTTACGAGCAACCTCAGTTGAAACCGTGCTCACCGCCGACGTGCTCAGCCAATTCTTTTTCTCCTTTTCTCTCGCACCGGTACGATCTGTCGCGTGAAAAGATGATCTTCTTGAACGTTCCGAAAGTCAGACCAAGCGGCATGTGCCCGATCAGAATTTCGCAACAGCAACAGCGACAGTCGGACACGGAACCGGAACGCGGACAATCGTACGTTAAACGTAAATCGAGGTCGTCCAGGCTGCGTAACAGTAAATTCGTTCGCACGATTTTCCATGGCCTGCACGTCAGTATTTAGAAATGGCTAATACGGAAAATGGTGGTGTTTGTTTCTGAAAGAAAATGTCAGGGCGCGTACACGTTTGTTGCTCGGTGTTGTAGCAAATGTCACGAACAAGAAAATCTAATGTAAACGATGTGCTTCGAATATCGAAAAATTGAGAAATATCTTCACGTATTCGTATATAAAATCGAGTCAGTTAGTGGAGTTACTATAAACGTCAGTAAATAGAAACATAAAATGACTAGAACTACTAAAAAAAAAAAATTAAAATAGCTGGTTGAAATCTATACGATTGTAATAAATGAAAACCAATGCATAAGTATTTAAGAAAATTGCATTGCTGATAGTTCACCCTCGTACGCACAAGTAACGCATTAGACAAGCTTAAACAACAAACGTGTACGCACCCTTACAAGTACGAACGATCGAGCGGGGAAGGATGAAATTGATAAACGATCAAATTCTCGGATTACAGAAGACCCGTTACGCTGGTGGAGGAGTGGACGAGCAACTGCCACCGCCGCCGTCGCCGCCCCAGCTGAAGGAGGCAGGCCAACTGGACGGAGTTCCTAGACCGAATTCGGTCGATCGTATCCTACATCCCGACGGTAGCCAGCACATCCTAACTAGCCACGAAGCCGTGAACAAGGTAATATTTAATAGTTGCTCGTTGCATGGCAAATGGTCTGCTTATTGAATTGTAAATGTTGCGTAAAACGGCGGAGGAGCAGCTTGGACGTAAGCGGTTTATCGAATTAAATATTGGCGCATACACGTGTCGACGCATGCTCAGAAAGGAGTTGGAAGGTTCGCCATCTGCTAGAATACCGGGCAAGCGAAATTGAAATCGATAGGGAGCGTCGGCAAACGAGCTACTCTGTACTGCATTTATCGGCTATTTTTTAATCGATAAAATGCTTCATTCGTCGTGCCTCGGTATCGTATAATTGCTCGTGCCATGCGTGTTACGTATTTTGAATTTCATTCGAATGATCTGAAGTGAAAAGAACGAATTATATTACAAGTATTTAAGTACGATCTTCAATTTTCTTTATATATAAAAGCACAGACGAGGTATAAGAATAGACATACTTATTTTCTAATTATTTTCAGTTTTAAATTAATTTTACTACGATACGAGATTAACTTTCCTCCAATTTTTTTTATACCTGAATATTTAAATGTAATTTTAATCCATTCCATTTTAAATTAATTTTACTGTAATACAAAAGATTTAATATTCATTAAACACTTGTGGTCTTTAAAATTTTATTTGAAACGTCAATTTAATCTATTCTGAACGACGAGGTTCATATATGTATTTCGTCTGTGTCGAGAGTGAATAATTTATTTTACCACTTTACGAAACATCTAAAATTTATCAAACCCTTATACAAAAATCTCCAATTTTATTTACACCCTGAAAAAATCGAGTCAGTTATTTTATTTTAGTTAGTTAATTTATTTTACCACTTTACGAAACATCTAAAATTTATCAAACCCTTATACAAAAATCTCCAATTTTATTTACACCCTCTAAAAATCGAGTTAGTTATTTTATTTTAGTTAGTTAATTTATTTTACCATTTTACGGAACACCTAAAATTCATCAAACTCTTATACAAAAATCTCCAATTTTATTTACACCCTCTAAATATCGATTTAATCCTTTCTGAAGATAACTAATCTACTTTCATCCCCAAAGTGAATTTCACTACCCTACGATAGATGGCGCGCGCAGGTGTATCAGTTTCTACGAACGTTCGTTCGATGGTGCTTTCGTCGACTGTCTGATAATACAGTAACCTACGTTATCGCGCAAATATAAGAAACACACGTGGACGAAGCAGTCTGATCGTGACTTCGTGACTCGTCGATTCCAGGCCGGATGCGGCCGGTGATCCGAAAGTTCTGTCGGTTGTTGAATTGTGTCGCGGGTGCGTCTTCGTTGCGAGTTGTAACCGGCACCTAACTTGAACCTGATTCGATTGTAAATAGAACGTCTCTGGTGTTAATGAAGCACGAGGAACATCCCTGGACCGTGCATGACAAATTGAAACACATTATTGATCTTCTCTTCCGGCACGACCGACTTGCCGTGAATAGCGCGGGACGTAATGGTTTTTTTGTCACGAGTGATCGATGACGGGACGAGTGTCTCCTCGCGGATAAACGCCTTTGATTTATCGCTGGCTGACACGAATTGCATGTATCGATTCGTCTCGTGGACGTTTATGATATTTTCTCTTTCTCTTTTCTCTTTTACACGATACGTATTTTTACTTCTCCCCTCGATATGCAAGACGATATTTTCTTGGTTTTCTTTTGGACAGTTTTTTCTTGGAGATTATTCGTAAAGATCATCTTGTAGTTTAGTTCGGTTAGGTCAGTGTCCGGTTCGTTGATGTTCGCGAGTCGTAATTAAGATGGATGCTGGAAAATGATTGACGAATCAAATCACTTTGGTCGTCGAAATGAATCATGATATGGTTCAATGAATCACGAAGTTATCGCATGAGACGCTAATGTCTATCAATGCCCTGATTTGTTTTGATAAAGCGAGAATCATCGATTGTTATTAAGCGGTAACGAAATCGGGCGTAGATTATTTCTGTTTCCTGATTGTTGCGTCTAGAAATCATACATTGTAAAATAAAAGTAATGTGTACTCTTACGCGAGACAAATATTTCAATTGAAAAATCAGCTTTATTCATTTTGCATTCGAGAGTATTGTGAATGTACAAAAGAGTTTTATTTACGCTTCGTTACATTGGCTTCAGTGAACGGATTGCTTGAAATGCGAAGCACGTTATCATCCTCGATGCATACTGTCTCTCGTTGGCATTAAAGTCCCATTCATCGAATGAAATCGTTGACAATTTCATTCGATTTCAGCCATAATATAATAATTTCCTTATCGCGGGGCGAACATATTTTCCTTCTACTCGGCTTCATCTTTCCTTTCTCGATTTTCTCCAATAATTTACCGCGACGTTCGTCGCCTTCCCGTGTCGCATCAGCTTTTGACACTGTTCGAAGTTACACAAACTATACATATAGTTGAAAAATTTGTATATTCTGAAGACCAAAGAGGAACCTGATGAAACCATTGTTTGTCTGATAAAAAGCTTCGTTCGATCCTCAATTTTCATTCCATTTAAGGTTGCGTTTAAATTAAATGAACTTATAATATAGTATCCATTATAATGCGTAGACTAATTATTCTCAGCATACTAAATTGTTCGTATAATCTTCGGACAAGTGCGAAGCCATTTCTAGCTTTGTCCGTATGAAGCTCGAAGGGTTAATAGACGTACAACAAACACAATGATGGATGATGCTACATTCAACTCACGTATTACACAATGACATAATAATACCGTCTATTAACGGGATTTAGCATGGTAACTAGTTTCGGGGAACATCTCTTGGTTCAGGGTAACGCGAAACCAACTTCACCAACTGTTCGAAATCCTCCAAGTTCGAAGATCGAAACGGGGCTCTCGAAAACGGGAGTTAATGGAATGGACTTAGGAAGATTCGAATGGTAGGGGTTGTTCGGTCCAATCGAACGGACTCAAGGTATCTCTCTCTCTCTCTCTCTCTCTCTCTCTCTCCATTTCTCGCCGGTAATTCGGCTAGGCGTGTGCCCTTTAAGGTGACCCAGATACCGTCTAGTACTATTTTATTTCCTACAGTATCTCGTTCTATGCGATTCTTTTGTGAACGCGCGCGAGAAAGCTCGGAGGAGCATTATTTTCACCAACCAGATATTCCGCCGTCGAATCCCTCTCCGGCTTTACTTTGTTCAACATTTTGTCCCCTCTCCTCTCCTGTAACGAATCTTTAGAACCACTGATCTCAGTTAGTTTTGACTTCGACGACTTGAGAAAGCACATGTCGATAAAAAAAAAGAAATTTTGCGACCGGGGGTAGGTATTGCAGGATATTCGAGTACGCCTCTAAAGATTGAGCAATTAGTTTCTAAAAAGCCACGTGTCTTTCATTCAATAGTCAGAACTATGTCGCCTGTAATTATTCTTATGCTTCGTTATCTCTCTCCATTAATCACTTGCGCTGGCAACTGATTGCGGACCGTAACGAGCGACCGAGCCGTATACAATAATTCGTCGCTTTCTTTTTGAACTCGACGATATGATACCACTGGATGGAAATTACCGAGAGGTAATAAATTTCTCTATTTGTTTTGCCTGTTTTGTTTCACTGAAATATACCGAAAAAATATTACAATTATACTGGGAAAATATTACAATTTTGGAAGAAAAAGTTCTCGTCATTCCATCGCAAGAGGTTAAGTTTTCGAATCTTAATTTTCCGAAACTTCGATCATTTTCCACTGTTTTGAACTCGCAGCGAAGAATAGTCGACATTTTCTCATCGTTCTCATCGATTCACTTCGCCGTAACCACCAGAAAAATCATATTACTCGCGAGACGACCCAATATATCGATTTTCATGGGAGGCTAAATCGCCGGTTAATTTACGTAAATGTCAAGGTACGAATTAAACGGAGGACGGGAGGAGGTGGGAGGGGGAAACGTCTAATTAACGATAAAGCTTCTTCGATATCGGCGCGCAATTAGCTGAATTACACGCGAGCGGACGCAGGTAAGCGCTCGGGTAGCCTGGTTCCGTTTATAAAATATTATAATTGAACGCGGGTCGATTCTCGACACGCGATATTACGCCGCCAGTACGACGCACGGATTAGACTCGGATCGTTTAATCCACTCGTCTGATAAACTGTATCGCGTATCTGATGACAATTCAGCGTTTACTACGTCCTTCTCTGCTTCGCCCACGCGCGTAAACTACGTAACGCTGTGATAATGCATGGCCATATAGAGGGATGCGGCATTACCATCTCGGTTCGATACCCGCCACTCTTGCATAATTCGGGAACTTTCGGCGAAACGCTTGCCGCTCGTCGACGGAAATTCGTGTTTGCGTATTTTTTTTATTTTACGATCACGCGACCATTTCACCATGGTGTACGTACAGTTAATATAACGAAAATATTCGAACATTTAGGTAAATAGTAACTGAATTTTATGGAATTCAGTTCTGAAATTTCGTTGGCACTTTAGCAAATTTATTCGTATTTGTACGAAATTTTGAAGTTTTTACAATACAAGTGGAAGGGGCAAATTTTCAGATCAGTTTTCTGGAATGAAAATTTGAACACGCAGAATATAGAAGTTGTAGAATATTGAAACTGTCTACGAATGCGTCATATGAATTATATGAAACATTTTGAAATTTTGGTAGCAGTATGATGAAGTTCAACTATCATGGTAATATATTGGCAAAAGTAAGCAACAATTTTGAAAATACACGTAGGAATTGCAAGATATTTCACGAGAGTATATACGTAAATATATTACGTATTTTGTACGTAAAATTATTTCCATGATCAATTTTATGTACGTTACACCAATAAACTACAATATTTAAGACTTTTAATTTTAGTTCGTTCTTTGCTACGTTTCTAGTAAATTGAGTATACATTTTTAAATAGCTTCAAAAAATTCCACTTCAATATTTTTGCGATATTTCGTAACATTTAATAAGCTTTCAAATATAATCACGATATTCATTACTAACGAAATTTCACAAACTTTCATATG